TTTCCACCATGTGTTGTTCAAACTATTAGCAATTTGCTATGGCTGAGCCAAAGCGTCAAGATCGAGATTGTCAGATTTTTATATCGTAGAGACTGTCATGATAATGTTTAGCGCGCGGTGTGAATCACGTAGAGAATTGAGTTTTCATGAGCGGGTGGTTTGAATTCACGCACCAAGAAACATTAAATATCTTCGTGAGGAGTTAATTTCGGTGATTTTCGTTGTGCGCATCGTGTTCTACGTGAAATTTTAGTAACGAAACATGTATCAGAATGCTGAAATTCGTACCTTGTCTAGTGGTCCATTCTATTCATATTAGGCCTCCTATTGAGTAAGGCAGTTATAACAATTAAGCCAAGGAGGCTTTATACAGTTGTTTATTTTAAGGAGGTTTTTCAGTGTTTTTTCCCCTCGAAATTTCCTTTTAACACTCTCTGCTCTTTGTGTAGGCAATCATTGAATTAGGAGGCTACGACTTAGTATCTAGGTACTACACAAACATCATGATATTTTGTTACCTCAAATTACAATTGGTTTGATATACGCTAAAAATAGACCAAGTTCTACTAAAGTCTAACTCTTCCCTTATACTTGTGCGTGCAATGCCAAAAATCCTGCTAGTGCACACTGGAAAAAAAGTAGCTTAGATCGAGAGTCCGACCCTTAAAAACATTGACAAGAAAAACTACTCTTGATTCAATCGGACTTTTGGCTGGAATCAAAAGGAAATGCGCCTTAATCAAGAGGCTCAGCTCTTTGATTCTAGGAAAAGTCGGATTGAATCAAGGGTATTTGTTCTTGTCAATGTTTTTAGGAGTCTGAACTTTGGATCCAAGCGACTGTTTTTTGCGGTGGCACTTAAAATGTTTCAGGGAAATTTTTCTAGGCCTAGTATTGAAGTAAATAATTACCGTCCTCTCATACCCGCAGATTTTTTTTCCAACTTCCAAACTCCCGTTCTTTTTTAAATCCAGCCCATTTGTGGTGCACCACAACTAAACACATAACACGTTTGTGAACGATCGTAGACCATCTTTATCGGGCAGATAACGCTTCATAGCTGCACCCAGTAGCACAAGCACGTAAGCCGCCAGGCTATTAGGTTATACAACACATAGCACTCCACGAAGCGTGCAAAGAACACAACTACGAAGCCCTCCGACAACGCTTCAAATTAACACCAGGAATTTAAAAGCAATAATCACAAAGTAACGCCGCACCGGCAAGGAACGGGCGCTGCAAAGGAACGAACAGGAAATAAAATAGGAACGGTAACTAAATGGGAACAACTTTATGATTAACTTTACTGCATTTCATGAATGAAAGAATAACGCGCAACTTTCCCCGCCCCCGCCCCGCCGGCTGCCCTCCGCGGGGCTCATTGTTTGCATGGAACACGGTCTGTATTTTCATTCGGTCTCGTTCTTTCTTAACGAGTCTGAATTGTTATATTAAAGTCCGTAAGTCTCTAATTATTCAGAAAGGTTTTGATTCACTAATAAGGGTGCCGGGCGCGCCAGAAGGAGGAGCTGCAGGGGAAAAAATCAAAACGCCGCGCGGTTCAGGGGCCGGCCGCTGGGAGCGCTCCCGGCAGCGACTCGCCCCTCGCTCGGGACAGAAATTATTACCGCTCTATCAGCTCGGTTCAGTTCGCAGATGTAGCGCCCGTGGCGCCAACGTGTTCCGTGTTCCGATCGCGGTTGAAGTTCCGTGCGATCCAACGCTCAGCTCTCTCAGTTCCGTGCGCTACCGGATTTTATATCCGCCATAGTATTCGTTTGATAGATCGTTGACTTCTTTGTATAATTATTTGGTGTGTTTTTTTTTTTTTTCAAACCAGATTCACTACCCAGAGGAAGTCCTTTTGTAAACGAATTCTCTAATTTCTGAGCGAGATTGGATACACTTTCAAGCGTGTTCGACAGCGGCGCGATTCGTTAAAGAAAACGCTGAATTTGTGCTTCGTTTGGTTTTTCACCGAATTTCGGCTTCTAACTGCCAAGAATTTTGGAATGGAATCCTGCTTCTGATCTCATTTGGATAATGTGCTCCTTAATCAAGAATCGTGTTTGTGTTTTATGATTTTTTACAATTCAGAAAAGAATTCAATTAATGTTTTAATTATTTTTCCCTCGAATATTTGTCTCACTCGCTGATCTGCTTAGCGCATTTCAAATTGATAGTGCGAATTTTAAAATAAATAATTGCAATTTTCGATCTGAATAATTTAGTGTGGAAATATAAAATATATATTTAAATATATATATAAAAATTCGCCAGTGTGAATTATCCGTTTTTCGGGAAGTGAAGAGAAAAATCCCACCCGCTCGGATTTTCTCGCCGCCGGGTACGAGTGTTCGGATTTGAATCGCGGTGTCATTCGCAGCGTCCTCGAGGGTGCAGGCGGGAGCAATATTGCCCGTCAAAAGTGTTGGTGACAGCGAAACAAGCACCGAATCCGCGCTCCCTCTTCAGGGGATCAATGTGAAGTGCACGCACCCGCAGCGGTTCTCCAATGCAGCGCACGGGCACATCCTGCGGTTTTCCGTAATGTTTTTTATCGACGGAAGCTCCAAGTGCGCCCCACAAAGCCCGCCCGATTGCCGGTGGCTCAATTTTGTAAATGTGCTCTAGTGTGCCGTAAAATCGTCGCTTTACGCCCAAGTGATTTTTGCCTGCATTGTGTTTCGGTTTCCCTCTCGCTCTATCACTGGAACGAAAAAAAAATATGCACGCCGTTTCTCTTTCCACTGCCAAATATAAAAATTAATTTTCAGTTCGGTCGGATTGTATATACTCTGGTTTTCTATTTGTAAATTTTACAAACCACTATTTGTAAATTTTACAAACCAAATGGTGTCTATAGCGGTTCGAAAGTGTAATAAGACTCCGCTTTGTTTTTTTTCGTATTTATTGTGGATTTCGCGCTAACTTGGTCCCTCCGTGCCGGATCGTCAATGCGCCTGTGGATTACGCTGATATCGCGCATCGTGTCGCAGTCATCGCCCGTAATTTTGACCTCCGTCTCGTCATCCGAATGACCGTGGGCCACTTGAATCCGAGCGCCGAGCCCCGACATGCGTCCTGATCGACTCGAGTCCGCGCTGAGCTTCGCGCTCGCACTCCTCCTGATGTTGTTCCTCGACGTCTCCGGGACGAACGACACATGCCCCAGCGTGTGTCACTGCAAGTGGAAGTCCGGCAAACGGACAGTGGAGTGCGTCGACCGCGGACTCATCACCATCCCGCAAGGGATCGACCCCGAGACCCAGGTCCTGGACATGTCCGGCAACAACCTCCAGATCCTCCCGCGGGAGACCTTCGCCAAATCCAGCCTCCTCAACCTCCAGAAGCTCTTCCTCCGCAGCTGCCGGCTGGGGCAGATCGACGAAAAGGCTCTGCGAGGTCTGACCAACCTCGTCGAGTTGGACCTGTCGCACAATCTACTGACATCAGTGCCAACTTTAACGCTAGCCGATGCGCCCTCGTTACGGGAGTTATCTCTAGCGCAGAACCCCATTTCAAAATTAGATGCGAACGCCTTTCAAGGCATCTCGGGGTTGATCAAGCTCGACCTATCGCACTGCGAGCTTCACATCATCGCTGCCAACGCATTCCACTCGGTCGAGTCTCTTGAGTACCTGCACCTGGACGGAAACCGGCTAAGTGAGCTGAGGCCCAAAACGGTCGACGTCCTCAGCAAATTGCATGGAGTAGCGCTGCATGACAACCCCTGGTTCTGCGACTGCCACCTCCGTGCGACGAAGATCTGGCTCACGAACCACAACATACCGTACCCGGTACCTCCGGCTTGCGAGGCGGGTCCCCAACGCCTGCAGGGCCGCACCTTCTCCGAGCTGTACGTCGACGATTTCGCCTGCAATCCAGACATCAAGCTCGACTCGAGGTATGTGGAGGGCACGGTCGGAGACAATTCCACCATCCTCTGCCGGGTTATCTCCGAACCCCCTGCCCGGATAACGTGGCACTGGGCCGGACGCCAGCTCACCAACAACTCCGCCTTCACAGTCCACCAGAGGGTCTACATCCTGGAGGATTCCCTCACCTCGGAATTCGACCAGGTCAGCTCCCTCGTCATCACGAATTCCCAAGAGACCACGTCGGGGAGCTTCTTCTGCCTGGCGAAGAACGCCGCCGGCAGCGCCGAGGCCAACTTCACGCTGCACGTGAGCAAGAGGATAGCCGGGATCGCGCTGCTGGGCAACGGGCAGATCGCCGGCCTGGGCGCGGCGCTCATGACCCTGATCGTCTTCATCCTGATCGTCATCATCTACCTGCTGTTCCGGATCAAGCGGACGTCGTACTCGGACACCAAGTCCCCGGCGGCGATCGAGATCGTCTCGAACGGGGTGGTCGCCCACAAGGCGGCCATCACGCCGGTCATCGAGACGTCGTCTTTCACGGAGCGGAAGTTCCCCACCGGGAACGGGAACGAGCCGAACCCAGTGCAGAAACCGCCGCGGCTCGCGGAAGTGCCGAACCACTCGTACACGCGGACCTCAAACCCGGACCTCATCAACGACACGCGGTCTCAGACGACGGACCTCCGGCCGGGCAGTGGCGAGTACACGCGGACGAGTGAGTGCCTGTATCCCCAGGGGCTGTGGGAGGCGAGCCAGCAGCTCTCGTCTTCGCCGAATGATTTCGATAGCAACGATAAGACGCCGATCATCTCCGGTGATAAGGGGGGGTTCCCAGTGGAGGACTTCCGGATGAGTGGCGAGTACCCTAGTGACTTCGGGCTGCCGCAAGGCGCGGTGTCCCCGACAGGATCAGTGCCTAGTGCCAAGACGCTGAGGGTGTGGCAGAGGGGAGTACCCGTTCTACCGCCCGTTTCGGCGCTCAAAAGGGTGCTGACGAGGAGCTCGCCCGATGAGGGGTACCAGGAGGGTTGCGGGACGGACGTTTGAAGGGGCTGCCAGGCCTTGTTTTTTTATACCTTTTTCGTCGCATTCGGAGTCCCGATTTTTCGATGATTTATGATCTTTCTGCGCACCACATGATCAGAGAGTTTTATATGTTGAAATTGTTCCATAGTTTGTACGAGCAATTTTCACACCATTTCATCCTTCTTAAGCGTCAATGTTCGGAGTAAACGTATCGGACAAATTGAAAATGTAAGAAAATCACCAAAAAAAAAAATTGAATGACTTTTATCCAAATACACTTTACCAAAATTTCAATTTATTTGCTCCGAGTTGTTTCGCGAAACAGAAATGTAATATCGAGAAAGATACTTAAAGTGAGTTCTGACTACAGTTTGGATTAAACACGTGAATGGTAATTGGCTGAAGAAGGATGTTTTGCGTGGAGAAAAAAATATTAAGGGCAGAACAGGTTACATTTCTCAAATCATTGAAAAATCGCTATTCTGATGTTTAGTACAATTTTTGCGACGGCTGTGATTTTTTTGCGTCGAGACTCCGTGCTGCAGGACCCTGAAATTCGTTCACTCGCATCCCTCATACAAGAGACAGGTGATCTGTTGAATTTTTCTCATTTCTCTACAATGTGATATTAGTTTTTAATTTTTTAGTAGTCAGTTTATTGTTAAGTTTTGTCAAGTCATACCGGCATGCAACGTTATTCCAACTGCGAGAGGTGCGACTTCAATACTGTTTTTGAAAACGCGACCTCAGTCACTTTTGTTCTATCCTATTCCATGATGTTACGAAACGAAGGCTAATTTGAATGTCACTCAAATGGGGAAAAAAGATCCTGAATAAAAGCGCTTATGGATCAAGATCTTTTTATTATTTTTGAGATTGCGAATAAGTATAAATACTGCGGTCTGAAGTTTGACTGAGGTACCTATGAGACTTTTTTATGTGCTCAATACTTTTTCCTCGCGATTTTACCTCCACAAAATTTATTAATTCATCAGTATTTCTGGTGTGTAACGGACCCTTTTCATTAGACTACACGGAAAAAAATTAATTGGTGATTCAACAATTTAATTGTTAACAAATACGTCTGACATGTTTCAAATTTAAATTTTACAATAGTAGAAAGCTGCCTTTAACCACGAGGATGGTTTTAAATTAGCATTTTTTTATTGTAAAATCTACATTGAAACATGTCAAACACTACAAAATTGTTAAATCAGCAATTTCATTTTTTTCGGTGTAAATACGATCAGCTCCAATTTCAAGCGTGTCATCGTAATTTTGATATTTCGCGCTAATATCGTGGAAAATGCATCAGCCGTTGGTCACTGGAAAAAAACACAATAGATCTAGAGTCCAGACTCTTAAAAACATCGGCAAGAAAAAATACTCTTGATTTAATCAGATTTAAGCCTAAATCAAGAACCAAGCCTCTTAATTTAAGCGGATTTCCTTTTGATTTAAGCTTAAATCTGATTGAATCAAGAGTCCTTTTTCTCGTCAATGTTTTCAAGAGTCTGGACTCTAGATCCAAATCGTTTTGTTTTTTTTCCAGTGAGTTGAGATCCTTTTGTAAATCTTCATGTCCTGTCCGAGTGTAAGTCAATGCCGTGAGCGAAAACTCCCACTTGGAACGACGCTCTCCGTGCAAAAAAGTTGACGTGCTTTTCGGTCGTTTAAACTCGCGCAAAGCCCGGAATTTTACTGCCACTTTTACATTTACGGTGTTTTTTTATTATGTTTATATCGACGGAGTCTCAAAACATGTCAGGCGGTAGCGCGCCTTTCCCGGCTCGACGGGATAATTCGCCGCATTCCATAATCCCTGAACAAATATTAGGTTTAGCCGGGATGCAAGTTGTATGCGGATGAAAATTCCGCAGGCATTATACCCTGCGAAATTAGTTTTGAGTCTCGTATGAGGCTTACGAAGCGCCCTGATTTTGCATTTATGCTGATGACTTTAACAAGCGTTATCCGTGGATTAGTGTCGTGACTTGTCACTTCTAATTGAAAATCAAGATATGAAATACAACCACTCGGCGTGCACTCCCGACCAGAGAGTTGCCTCCAACGTGTAGTGCCTCATCTGATTTGGAGAAAAATTAAATAAATTGAGCCTCAAACTTTTTTTCAGTCCACAGAAAAAAAGAGAGGGGTTGTTGGGGGTAATAGACATTTCCAATTAACTGTGGTAGTACCTCTATTAATTTTGGTAGTACCCCAACAAATTAGGTTACCATCCCAAATTGTGCGGTGCTACCCCAAATTGAGTTGCGATACTACAAAAATTAATTGGAAATGCCCATTGCCCATATCATCTAAAAAATCGGGGTAGTACCACAATTTTAGGGGATAACCTCTAACACTTTTTTCCCGTATCGTATATTGTTAGGTACACGCAGAGAAGAAGTTTGATGCTTATTGAACATCGAACTTTGTCGGTCACAGAAACCGAACCTTGGTTCATCCTATAAGTAATGAAACTTTGGCTAACTGCAACGAAAAACATGCTTATCAATATGAACCGAGGTTCACTCCTTGCAACCGAATTTGTTTTCTTAGTATGTATCAGAAGAAGTTATCGTGATATTCATCACGTGTGCGAATGATACATTGCATTATTTGAAGATCGTTTTTGTTACGACTCAGCAGTAACTCGGATCAGATACAGCTCATTCCGTAGATCAAAAGTTTATACATATATTTCTCATTCCTCTTCCTAATTTCTGTTCGTTTTCGGTGAGGATATACATTGACACGATGCGTGTTTTTGTGTTTAAATTGGACGTATTTCTAACAAACGGAACTACATGCACTATAACGTGAGCCCTGGTATGCACATATTCTTAGGGATCTTGGGGCTCATGCCTCAATGCATATAGTACCGTTTGGCAGAAATACGTCCAATTGCACGTCTAAAGCGTTGCTTTCCCATGCGATTACAATGTCTCCACGCCTACTTAAAAGAATAAAAAGAATAGATACTTCATAAACGATTGAAATGAAAACCGGAAGGTGAAACGTGTTTCAAATAAATAAGAGCGCTAAAATTTTTCTAACAAATATTTTGTTTGTTTCCATCCTGAGAGCACTTGATCATCAATCAATTAGCAAAACCGCGAGCATACTGACGAACATGATCTGTTCCCTTCTTACCAGACCATCTAATTTGTATACAGAGAAAAGGATTGTAATTCGTGACAAAATCTAGGGCAAGTTTGAGGATATTTTATGTCATTAACCAGGCGATGTGAATCTCAGATGCACGATTTTTTTTAAAAATGCATGAGTATTTGGAAATGTCTACATTTTTTGTTGGAATTTGAGTCTTCTTTCAAACCAATTCTACAGAAAAGTCCATATAGTCTTTCAGATTGAAATTCATCAACTTCGGCACCTTAATTTGCTTTTCGCGTTTCTTCTCAGACGCGATTATAGTTTCGATCGTCTCCTCCTGCCCCAATCAACCCCCTAATGAATCCAGGTCAAGCAAACAACAAAGAAAATCACAATTTTACAATACATATATTCTCTGCTCAAGTTAGAGAATTAGTAAAGTTCCGGTGAGGTTTGTCTAGTCTTACGAGAAGTTCCCAAATTTTGCTTTGGCCATGAATGATCATGCATAAAGAAGGCAGTTCACGCACCCACGTACCCCGTGAGCCACAATTGGCATTCCTGCTGCAAATTATCCCGTTTTTCGTGCGGGCTGCACGATTCGTCATATAAGCAGTGATTGTAACTAAAAATTGACCGCTGATAACTTAGGTTTTTTGCATGGAATTCCTTTTCGCAACAAACGATTTTACTGGATGAAAATATCGAGAATAATTGCCGGTAAAAGTAAAATTTCATCGGTCACCGTTAAAAAAAGAGAGTATTACTTATAGCTTTTCAATCCTTAGACCTATCTCTGTTGGGAAATTAGCGATGTCGGGTAAAAAGGGTGGATATTTCGAGAAAATTCTCATTCCGAGGTACATTTAATCGATTTTCACCGGAAAAATTAACCGTGTCTCAAACTCGTTCAATATTTCCTGGACAATTTCTCCTTTGAGAAATCACTGGAATCCTTGCGAGACCTCCGAGGCCTTGTATTTCATTTTGTATTTTTTGTATTTCTTTAGGCAGTCTTCCTCAATTATTAAAAATCAGGAAAAATATAAATTTTCAAGTTTTTGGAATTATTATTCCTTAGAAACGACTGACCCGGATTCGTCGTTTCTCAATAAAAGAACATATGATATTCTGATGTTGCAACGTTGCCTCAAAAACTTCATTTTTCACAAAAAAATGGCTGAGGTATCCGTCCGCAGATTTTCTTATTTCGCCTGAACCAGTCGCAAAATTACTGAAATTTTCGGTCAAAAACTCCCAACGGTCTGTTACTAAACATATGAAATACATGTACCTACGTATGTTTGTCGCTTCACTGCATCCCTGATGCTCTTTGGCCCCTAAATGCCACTGTCCTCTATTAAAACTTACACCTTTGAGAATTGCACACTTCTGCATTTTGTATTGAATACGATCCCTCGTCCTTTTTCTCTTACCAGGTGCCCTCTAAGTCTTCTCTCAAGAGGAACCTACTTTAGGACCTTTTTGGCGGCCTCTTTCCCGCCATTTTCTGTATTTGACCATAACTTGTTCGTTGTACCCATGAAATATGGTTTTTGACAAAATACGGAGTGCGAAATGCAATGCTGCAACGTTAAAATTTAGTTCGTCGCTGTCCATAAGTTACGTGAGGCTCTGGGGAGTGGGTGGGTCTTCATAATTTTCGTCCGCGAGTCATAAGGGGTGAGAGGGTATCTGGTTCAGCGTTAAGTAATAGCACGTACAAACAGAATTTCAACATTTTCTTCTGTATTCTTTTTAAGTTTTATATTCTAGTTTTTTCGTCTTACTCTTTCTTGTTTCTTGAAATCCAGAAACTTATAATTAACACAAGCAGTGTCCTTCCCCCCAGATTCACCCGACATAATATCTTTTGGGGTTTTTTCTTGTAAAACACGGGAGAGATGTCGAGACAAATGTCACGTCATTATTTTGGGGATATCTAGACCAGCGTTCCGATCGTTTTACGAGGGGTAGGTAGTTGTTAAAAAATAAATTAAAAATCACGTCACGTACACTGAAAAACAAATCACGGGCTACATAGACATATCGTCCGTTCTAGGCTTAGAGGCCGAAAGTTCCGGGTGTTGGAGCCGTAGCTTCGATTTCTCCGGGCACTACCCCCGGAACTTTCGGCCTTTGAGCCCGGAAAGCGGACGGTATGTCTACATAGCCCGTAAGTACGGCTTCCACGGCCGAATTTTTTCCCCCCAGTGTAATTTATGGATAGCCCCTCACGTTTGCCGTGCGGAAAAGTGCGAATTCGCAGACATGCACGAGCCGGCAGCTCTGGTTGCAACCGCGACGAAAGGAAGGGGAGCAAATCAATAAAGGAAAAATAATGTGCGTTAAAGCGGTCGGTGCGAGGACGGCGAAGAGAGAGGTGTCGAGGGGGTGGTGTAATACTTTCTTGAATAAAGGGGCCCATAAGTTGTTGTTCTAATTCCTCCTTCATGATAGTAGCTCACCTTCCTTTCGCCGTAGCAGGAAATCGAAAGGGCGCCCGGGCATTTCCAGTGGCACTCGCCGAGCCGAGCCCCCCACGCACTGATCATTTATTTCTCCGCCCTGGAACCATTAACCGGCTCCGATATCTATTTCTAGAGAGGAAGTTTCCCCCGTCGGAGGCTTTTCGCCCCGGAAAATTCCAGACGTGAGCACCCTCTCCCCGAACTTTGAAGGTCACATCGTGGGGACCCTCTTGAAACCTTTCTTTCTCCCTAGTTTTTGCCCCACC